TAGCTCGGAATTCTTCTCTCTCTCCTCTGTTTCCCGCTCTCGCTCCATCTCCGCCGATCAGGAATCAAACCTGCAACAAAGCCACATCGTGCGTCGATACTCGGTTTTCATCAACCGAGACCGATGTGGCAGCGGCTCAGGGGAAGGCACGTGGAAGAGAGAGAGGCGAATAAGGCGATCGAACTCAACGATCGATTCGCCCGTCACAATTAATCAAAATCAATACGCCATGCTTTACGATATGTTTGCAAATTTTCAAAATGCTCACCACAATAAAGATGTAAAGCTTGTACTCAATAAGAAAGATTTTATTGAGAAAATATTGCTAATAACGATTGACTTTTCAAAGCAAAACGAATTTCTTAAGAAATTAGGCCAAAGGAAATTCTTCAGATATTATAGCAGCCTATTGTCTGATTCTACATGATCGTATATTATACAGTACAATCTTGTAAGCGGAGATAAGGTGGCTCGACAGGGTAACAGGAAGGAATACAAGTATAAAACGAGGATCAGCACTAACAGTCATTCATATTCGAAAAGTCTTTCGTAGTAGACCTGCAGGGATTCAAGCCATCTAGAGGTGATATCATCTTGAAGGAGTTAGCTGTTATTCCTCTCACGTACAAGCAAATCTTTTAATATGACTCTTCGAATCACCTTTTGCTAAAAAAGACCAACACAGAAATAGAGGAAAGAGAACTCTTGGCATGAACGTCATCTTCATGGCATCTCTTAGAGTTCGGGTGACTGGCCTTATAACATAATTGGTTAAATTATCAAAGTAACTTTGGGAAAACCAAGAAATATATTTGTCTTTAGTGCCACATACAAGGAGTGGCTACAGAGATTCGGATTGCCTGGTCGTAATAGTGACGATGTCGGTTATGGAACGGCAAAATAAGCTAAATTAGCTATAGTGTGTTCACATCACAGCAGATCATTCAAGCCTCAGTATTCACTACACAGCGCTTGATAATGTGTATATGAACTGTCAAACTATGAGTGAATCAAATGGGACGAAAATAGAATAGCGCATATATAAAACTCAATGATAAAGATGGAGATAGAAAAAACAAGGGGAAGAAAAAAGTACTTGGAAAAAGTATTCTAAAAAATACTTGTCCAATACTAATTCTGTCCCTAAAAATGCTAGATAACGTTTTTCTTTAAGGATCAAAGGGATTAGTTATATAAGTTGAATCTCACGGATAGAGGTGGGGCTTGATACTGTTACGTAAATCCTTCACATGTGTGAAAAAAAAAATTCTCTTCAATACTCTGCGCAAGCCGACTATTTAATAATTTGATAAATAGGGATAACAGTCATGTGATATATGATGAACGGCTATTTCAGCCTAAAACACTGATTGTTTCCAATACTAAAACAGTATTGTTATATATTTATATTAATAAATAAATTTTTTTGTTTTTATTTAATTTATTATATGTATAGAGTAGGGTTTCACCATAATAAATAAATTTGTTATGAATTACTCTTAGCTATGCGCGCCAGACTCCATCACTCAATCAGTGAAACGGACTCTGTACCGAACACAATAAAATTATTATTCTACCCATAGTTTCCTGTAAAGCATACATTATTGTTACAAGGTTTCGCATCTTCGGGCCCGAGCAGTGGCGCCGAGGGCCAGCAAATGCGTGTTTACACGCAAACAAGTCTTCGCGCAACTCGAGTTGCATCTCGGACGCCGAACTACTCGTAATTGTAAAAACCAAATTTATTGTAATTAAGAGCGAACACGAGTTCCCACACTTGTCTCTCTTGCGTGCCCCATCGTATGGGTGTTGTATAGAAAATGACCACGCAGAAAGTGACCTGTGAAATAAAATTATCATGAAAAGGATGGGATGAATAGTCTTGTACGCTTTCCCGTGTGACCCGAACGTACCTCCTGCCTCTCATTATGTATTCGTGCCGGGCATAGCGTATGTCTTGATGCTATTCTTAGATATATTCCTTCACCCTTTTCATAACATATTTGTTACAAGAAAATTACATATACTAGCTATTAAAGTTAATAGTTGTTTTTTTTAAGTAATTGATATTTATTTCTGTCAAAAAACTTAAAATTTATCATATATTATAATTTTCAGCTCCAAAGTAAATACTTAATGTTAAAAATCAATAATAACATTATATGATTAATTCCAACACTTATTTAGAAGATTTAAACAAAATTTCATTATTCGACTAAAATCTAGATTTCTTCATTTAAACTTTTTGCAATCAAATTTGTCACAATTCATCTAAGAATATAATTAATAGCTTTTATGTGTTAGCATTTCCTAATTGAAACACGATGAATATAGTTTAAAATCTTTACAATATAACTTATAAGAAATTCATCATTTATGAAAATGACTTTATATGGTCTTTACCCTAGAAAATCATCTTTTTAATATTAAAATTAGGATAAGATAAAAAATATCAGCTTCTGAAGTACAAAAATATAAACAATTTTTGTATCAAAAATATTTTTGCGTAACCTACAGATTTTGTGACAACAATTTTTTCAATTTACACTTTTTAATTTTCAATAATTTTTTTCTCAGAACGTATAAATGTTACTGAAAACTTTTTGAAAAGAAAATTGTTCACATTTTGCTCCTCTATAAGGTTGTATTTTTATTTTGATGTAATTCTAATATTAATAAAGGTGACTTGTTGAGGAAAAACTGTATACAGTTATTTTCATGAATTATTGATTTCTGCATGTTCTATTTAAGATGAAAATATCTAACTTTGAAGAGTATTTTATCGTGTAAAACACTTTTAAAATAATGTAATTAATATTATTGTAATTAACCATAAGGAATATCCTTAAAAATTTAGAGTTTTATTTTTCTATGTAATTATTTTCTCAATATTCATTAAAAGTGATTTTAAATTAGTAATTATAATTTTTAAAGGAATACGTGAAAAAACGTGATATCATGTCACAATCACCTCAGAAAAATAATATCCGAAAATACGTAATGTCACATAAATTTAGAGCCCAAATATAACGATTTAAACTAGCTGTATACTCACTGCCACATAGCATGAAATATTACTGCTAAATTTCAGCAAGGTTTCATAAAAGGTTAGAAACATTTCTGAAGCCTTTTAGTGAAAAATTACTGAAACATTTTTATGTCCGTACAGCTCAGGCTATAGAAAAGTTATAATAAGTTACGATAAAAAGAAATTAAAAGAGTGGAGTCCACTCATTTTTCAGTGGTCCGTGATCATGTAATTGCGAAATTTTCTAAAAAAGAGAATATTTCAAAAACGTAGGGTGAATTAATCACATAAAAGAGGTTTGTGTTACTAAAATAGAAGAACGTGAGTAATGTACTTTAATAATATTCAATAATATTATTAATAAAATGATTTGTAAATAAATTAATAATTATTATGTATCGTTAAAATATAATACATATATAAAAAATAATACAAGGAATAAAAATTTATATATCTTCAAATCATTCATTCGATGGAATCGCATGCCTTAAATCCTCACTCTTCTTTCAGCGAACACCAGCATCGACTGGAATCGCACGCCCACTGAATGATCCCGTGCCCGTCTGATTCCGTACATTCCTAATTTATCTACTTTGAGATTTGCCATAATTTCATTATTTTTTAAACTTGTTTAGTAATTTTTTATAAATACATTCTAGTTGTCTGGTTATACAATGTATTTATGTATTCCAAATGGAATGACAACAAATACTTTTAATATAATTGATAAATGAGATTATCTTTTGGTAATATATTATCGATAAAATTAGATAAATTAAATTTTTCTTCCACCATGTTACTTTTTCTTTTCCAAAATTATATAAATTACTGAATTATTAATAAAATAACAAAGTAATCGACAAAATTTTTAAAGTTAGTAAAGAGATACAACATTTCTCATGCGACCGCTAATTAATAACCGTCAGTCTCAAGCCCTTATAAATGTAGAGAGAAAAAACTTAAATAATTTAAATACATAATAGTTGTTACAGGAATAGTTTAATCGAGTTTTGTAAACCAAATAACTCAAGAGAAAATCGAGAGGCCTCTTGCTGCAAGGTGCAGTGGAACGTCGTCGCAATCATACGCATGCTAAGCGTTTTCTTTCACATTGTGCCATGCCGTTTAATCCAGTAGAATTACAATTCAAGGTGAATGTACGAGCAAAAGATAAAATTCTTGCTGGATTGAATCCAAAACATCATGATAAAAGATGTACTAAGCTGAGCATTGCGAATTTCATGTTATACAACTTTCTTTTAATACATATTCGTCATTAAATTAATATTCACGTGTAAAATTCGAAAATAGGTCGAAAAAATGCACAAGGATATTTGCGAAGCTCTGATTAGTATATCATTTACCATCATGTTTTGGATCCATTTCAATAAGAATTTCATCTCTTGTTCTTACACCCATATTTCAACTAATTTTGGTCTCATTCTACTAGACTATTTCCGTATGTTGGATACATAAATTTTATAACTGATTTCTATAAAAAAACCCTGATAAATCCATTGAAACAAGAATTAAAAGAAGAATATTGCTCGTTGAGTTATCCGTAAACATTTAAAACCAATGTTAATAACTTTTGAAAGAAATTACTATTTACTGTTGTAATTATATAGAAAATTTGAAATGTTACATGTATTTTAAAAAATATTGACTTTAATATTTTTATTAGACTTAGAAATATTGCCCTTCAAACTTTTTATCATTTTTCCTTAATAGCTAATAATTTTTTATATTTAATACTTCGCAAAGAAAATTTGCTAGAAAAACTTAATTCAATGTATACAATAATTTTGCAAAATCTGAAAAAAAAAATCGTAACCTAGTATCTCTGAGTCCATCGAAATAGCTAAGAATCATACATACATACATACATACATAAATACGTATATACATACACATATTTAATATCTTTATGTGTTATATAATCTAAATAAATAACTACTAAATTTATAAATAGGTTGGTCCAACTGTAGGTATAGCTGCCAGTGATGAATTATGGGTCGCCCGATTTATTTTGCATCGTATTGCCGAAGAATTTGGTGTGATTGTTAGCCTTGATCCAAAACCTATGGCTGGACACTGGAATGGTGCTGGCGCACACTGTAATTTCTCTACCAAAACGATGCGTGCCGATAATGGTATTGAAGAAATCGAACGAGCCATTGAAAAGCTGAGTAAAAGACACTCTCAACATATACAAGCCTATGACCCAAATGATGGCGAGGATAATAAGCGTAGACTTACTGGAAAATGCGAAACTAGCAGCATTCATGATTTTAGTTCGGGAGTAGCTAATCGTAATGTCAGTATTCGAATACCACGAGGTGTTGCAGAAGCCAACAAGGGATACCTTGAAGATCGTAGACCTAGTAGTAATTGTGACCCCTACTCTGTTACAAATGCTTTGATTCGTACGTGTGTCCTTAATATAAATTTATAATTATTTGTAGTTTCTATTTATATCATATTTTTCTATTTTATGAAGTCAGGTAATATAAGCTTTGAAAACTTGATTTATGTACTTAATCATTATTAGGGTCACTATACAAATTTGTTATAACATAATATTATCTATATAAATAATAATTAAATGATTCATACAATATGTAGGATGAATAAAGCATTAATATGTATATTTAAGCTAATAAATAATGACAGAAAAATAATTTTTTAATTTGTTACATCCTTATACGTTATATTTTTTTACAAGTTCACAATTTGGCAACTAATCGAACTTAGTAAATTCAAAAAACTGAAAAATCAAGGATCCTAATAACGCTTCGATTTATGGCAGCTAAATTGCAACGCACAATAGTTTTGATAATTCAACTTTTGTTAATGAATTATATTGAACTCTTGGCTCTTATTATTACTAAATAAAATCCGTTTATCTCCCAAAGCTCGTGTAGATTTATTATTATCCACATCCATCTTATTAAAGAGGATGTGACACTAATGATTAAAATTTAACGCGTTTTGTGGAAAGGTAATTTCCACGAGCCATGCAAGGGCCTGTACCCAAGCGCCGTATCACAAATTATTTAAAAAGGGGAAAAGTAAGGGATGCTCTTTCGCTCCTCTGAACGGTGACGATGGGCCTCGTCACTAAATTAACGTTTTGGGCTTCGGATTGAGAGGAAAGGAATGACGGGCGCACACAATAATCACTCCCGATAACCGTTAACAATATTTATTCCTCTACGCTTAACAATAAAAGAGCGACGACGTGAGTTCACGCGTCGTCCTCGACGGCCGCGTGGCTACGCTCGTGCAGACAATCGCACGGGGTCACGGTACAATAATTTGAGAGGATTACAAAAGAGGGACTTGCCTTGTTCGTTAATTTCGCTGTGCTCGCGGATGATCGCGAGCACTTCGCCGACGCGTCGCGCACTCGCGAATAGAGAGACAAAGAGAGACGACCTGACCTGGTGAAGGCTGCTGGCAGGAATCGCTGCTAGTGCTGCTAGCAGGAACTGCTGCTGGAGCTGCTGGCAGGAAATGCTGCTGATTCTGCTGTTGGCAGAAAATACTGCAGGAACTGCTGGCAGGCTTGTAGCAGGCTCGGATGGATTTCACGATGCTCCAAGGGTCGTTGAAAATCCTATCTGTGCTGTACTATGCTCGGCGTCGTCTGACTTTTTTGTCTTGACCTGACTGTTTAGCTTTCTCTCACGTGCGCATGCTCGGCCGTCAAATCGATCCGTTTATCTCAAAATCTCGGCTCGAACTCTCTCGACAACCGTTTGCGCGTCGGCTTGAGCAACGCCAGCGGCTTCGCTCTCGCGAGCGGATCGCCACGGGTCACTCGCACTCGCTCGCTCTCTACTCGCGACGCGTCAATCTCTCTCTCTCTTCTTCTTGCCGCAGCCGCTCTCGCTCCCAATTGGCTCCCAATGACGATGCTCTGCTCAGGTATTGGCCCTGAAATAAAGCGATGCAAGCATCGGTATCGGTTCGTAACTTTCAAACGCTCGCCAGGGCAACAGCGAAGGAGCGAAGCTGCGTGAGAGAAAGAGAGCGAGTCAGACAGGGCCGTCTATTCTAGCCAAGGCCCCGTCAGAAAGATATCAGCCCAACTACAAAACTACACAAAGCTTTATAACCAGATAAGGCATACTATTATGTTCTATAGAGTAATGGAATATTTAATTAAACTGTAATGTTGTGCATTATAAGGCTTTATCGAAGAGTGTAGTACTATTTGCTGTATCTCAGGAAAGACATCCCCGTCCCTTGCCGCCCCATAACTAGCTAAATAATTATTCCCTACCCGCACCCTAATGAAAACACCCTTTTGTTTTCAAATTCACCCACTGACGCCCGAGAAAACGATGCAACAAGTTGATGAGCGCGATTCGACTGAAAGCGCACTATAAGAAAAGTAGTAGAGACGAAAGACGAAATAAAGGACAGCACGATGAAGAAATTGGAGAGCACGGACACACACACGCCCGACTACGTGTTGCTAATAGGAAAGAAAAACGCAAAAAAAATGCAACGGAGGTGCAGTCGAATGAAATAACGGACGGATATTTAGGCACCACCAAAAACACTCCGAAAAAGCTGACACACTTAGGGCAACCAGAAAATCAAAGATGAAGCGGCAGTCGACAATAAGCTGTGCCAGGCTGCTGCACATCATCAACGGCATCGTGAGCGCCACAGAGACTGCTGCTCATTACTGGTGACACACCTGGAAAACACACACACACACAACTGATGGAAAGCGCTTCAGGAGGTGTTCCAGAGACCGGTAACGAAACACGCGGTGTACACGCGCGAGCAGCAGCGGCTATTTTGGCTTGCCGATACAGACTGAGCAAGAACGAGTAGACAGACTAAACAGGAGCGAGCGTAACTCACTCATGAAAGTAAGTGAGACCGATTATTAATAAGATAAGACGAGATAGTGAATTCGAGGAAAATTGAAATTGACGCTGTAAACTGACTATGTGTAGTAAATTGTACTTTAAATGATGTACATGACTCATATATTGGACCGAGACAAACAAGTATGCGTGAGAAAGATGTAAAATTGAAATAAAGCGGAATAGGAATAGACAAAAATTGATTAACGAACAATTTAAAGGTACATAAATAATAAAGTAAATAAAAACGAGTAAATTATAATTATATTATATGCGATAAATGAACAAGTAAAAGATCATATATACCAGAAAATGATGATGATTTGTACTAAAACATGCAAATAATTAGAACTAGCATAGTGAAACTGCCCATATCAATATTAATTTCATAAAATTCGAACAAATTAGAAGAACGCCACTGATGTCACGCATTAGCTAAGCCAATAAAAGGGTAGCTTCATGAAACTGACTTTCGTCCTTATTATCGTTGCGTTTAAAGGTGGAATCAAAAATTATATTTGCGGCGAAAGATTCCGATTTAACTTCCGATTTAATTTTTTTGAAAAAAAATGTTTGACAATTTAAAAAAAAACTTTTTTCGCAGCTTGTTCACAAAAAAGATAAAAAACTACATCAATTTTTTTTTTCACTCATTCAATATTATTCCATAATAAATATCATGAATTATGTAAAAATATGAATTTTCTCTTTTTTTTTTTTTGGTCTTAGAAAAATTCTTCTCTATACATTTTTTTGAATTTTTAGAATTTACGGAGATAAAAAATGTTTAAAAAATCTGTTTCTTCCTGAAAAAAATACCTGAGCGCGCGTCGGTTCTGACGAAAATAATTCTTTGACCAGTGATTCAGATAGAGCTTGATAAAAGCTAAAAAATGTTCTAACTTACATTTTTGTAAGATTTTTTTCCAGATTTGGCAAATTTTCAATGTTAACATAAAATTTTCCGAATTTCAATGTTAATCTATTGCTTGCAAAAAATTATAAAACAATGGTTGGCATCCAGGAGTCATACCATTTGAATGCTCTTAGAAAGACCTTTCAAACACGCCCCCACGCGACTCTGTGCGTTAATTTTTACCAGAACATTGAACTTTAAACTTTAAGTTTTGACTAATTTTGCGGCGGGGAGCTTAAAGTAGGTGACCAGCAGTGTACGGCCATGTATTCTTTTAAATCAGAAAGATCACTTTTAGATATCTGTTGAAGCTTGTTAATAATGTTTAGTAATTTTTTACGTACATTTCCTTCAAATGAAAAGTTACGACCGTTGATAAAACTTTTATAAATATAACATTCTTTCACCTATTTCACAGTACAATTTGGATACTGTTTGTGCATGTTACTATAGAGCATATTGACATAGCCTAACAAAAGATGTAGTTCAGGAAGAACAATTACATCTAAAACTGATTGATAACTATCTGCATATAATAATGGCGGATGAGAATAATTTTAAAAAATTTTAACTTTGTATTTTATATTTTTATAACTACCACAGTTATTGTAATTATTAAGACAACTTGTTACTGCTCTTGAATCACCATATGAAAGTAAATTATATTTCGTAACTTTACATCAAATACATGCACAATAGCTTGCTTATCTTAAATTACTTGTTAGTCCTATAATTACTTTATCAAGTTTGAGATCCGTAGTTATTGATACTGGGTACTTATTTAAACATTTATTTATTTGTAGTTTCAGCTATGAACATTTTATATTATTATAATTTTCTTATATAGCTGGAGCAAGCGTAATGATAAATATTTTTTGACTCGAGTGTCTTTCCACTTTTTACAGTTTTTGAAAGCTTTCTTGTTACATGTTTCTTCTCTTTTAGACTTAATATATAATGTAAATTTCAAAGAAACTTTTCTACTGTCAATACCAAAATTCAAATGAAAATCATACAGATTTCGTTCACTAATTATACTATGTGTTGTAACGAGGGGGGAGGATCTTGCAAAATAATGAGAAATTTATTTATAAGCAAACTCCCACGATGCAGAGCAAACCACCGCTCCGTTAATCACGTATGTAAGTACGTGTATTCGCTTTAACGTCAGATGATTTCTCTTTGTTGTCTTCTATCAAACGGAGTTGAACTCACCTTAAGTCACATGTATCGTGACACTCGATGAGTTTGAAGTGTGAGCGACTTTACTCCTTCTCCGCTTAATCCCCTAGGCGTAATAGGATTAACACCTAAGCCTATTTCAATTTCTTAAACTATTAGGAAAATCATATGACGAAATCGGCGAATAAGTTAACAAAGTTTATTCATAAAAAATCTATACAGTCTTTGTCGGGCCGAAAGACTGACGCACGCGAATAGGATTTACAATTAAATAATTTTCCGGTGAGAAAGAGAGAGAGAGAGAAGATTCGAATATTGGCACGATCTAACGCTCGGCGCGAATACAAAAAATTTAACACTAAACGGTTGAACAAAATACTTAATATATTTTGTCTCGCGATAATTAAGGGAGGTGCACCTACCCTGCGGTGCAATTACGGTGATCAGCCGTAATTGTTGATGCCAATAAAATGTATCAACTGCCTCCGGAACTGTTATATCAGCTGCGCTGTCTCGTACCGCCTATCAGCTGCAAATATGCTGCTACCGTGATGCTGTAATCTGCCGATCACGTTGTTGCACTCGCGCGCGTAATTACTCTGGGTAAACTATCACTCGGCGAGAAAACAGTGCAAACAAAATTCCGGCGATATCCTCTCGTATCAACAGCTGAGGCGTAACTGC